AAGATTCTTTAACAGAAAGCTAATCTCTGACGTCATGGCCACCAAACTCAATATCAAAGAGTTTGTTCCGCCGTTTCTACAACTAAACATCTCCGACCAAGACATTGTTCCCGGCGTTTTTTTGCATCCGCAGGTGCGAGTTTCGATGACTGGACCTCGCATTCGAGCCAAGCGATTCCAGTCTGAAAACAACCAAGCGTGTGCAAGAACTATACATTTTATCATTTCAAGGTATCGTAGGAGACAAGAAAGCTATGGAGATTATTGGAAACGCTTTAGTATAAGCGCAGGACTTAATGACTTCATCTTGTAACTTATACGATATCCCCACGAGGCGTAGAGAGTATCTTGAGATATCTAGTTACCAATACTTTGTGCTTAAGAGACTTGACGCTTTTGTTAGAGTAATGAATGTCTCATATACTTCTTCGGTCTAGTTGTTTCCTCTTTGATATTTGGCTCGTTATAGATTTCTCAGTTTGTATATTTGACGTGTGTCCAGTAGCTTTACGGTTTAGGCTGCCTAAAATTTATGGTCGGAGGTTTGCCGATCCAAATGACCACCACCAAATGTAATTTTTATTCTTCAGTAAAGAGCTGATTTACATTTTGTTTCGTAATTTATCTGCATGGTTGTGGCCAAGTGGTATTCAGAGATTTGAAAAATATGCTAAAACATACTCTTAAAATTGAAATTCTTTCTCAAAATAAAACTACAACTATAAGAAGAATCTAGATCTGGAATCTAGCCCAAATAGTTTATCTAATAGTCTGGTAACAAGAGGATTTGGATCAGATCGTGTGAGTTGATAGGATTGAAACGATATGCATATACAAAACAAAAAATTGCAAAGATAATAAATTTTAAATGATCTAATGTTTTTACAAAAAACATAATCTTATGTTTCTTTAAATTATAACTGAAGACGTTGAACAAACATCTAGAGTATAATATAGAAGAGGTGCGAGTGCGACTGCTATTGCGAGCATAGGTGTATGTGGAACGACTGAAAAAGATCAACTAACTTTTGTTTAAAATTATATCGGTAATGGTTAGTTATGGATATCTATACCAAATCCATACCACAAATTTCAACTCCCGTCGAACCACTTCTTTCTTAGTTGATATTCACATTATTGGTTTCATTAGCTGATCAATGTCAATTTTAAGTGCTTTTAGGTAAAAATACCATAATCTTTTAAATATATATTTTTCTCGTCCAATTCTAGCTGCGACTTGTTATGTTTCTTCTATAACATATCTAGTATAGATCATTTCATATGGTTATTTGTATGTCTACCAAAATATTACATGAATTTATCAAACATTGCCAAAGACATACTCGTCAGCAAGTTAAGTGGCAAAACGATTAGAGCGTTATGTTATTTAAAGTCAGCAATAATCCATAATCATATATGATGAAAACAATAAAACAAAAATAATCTACTAAGTTTTGACGGAGTCTATGCGTTATATGCATGCATGGCGAGACTCAACTTAATCCATAATCATATATGATGAAAACAATAAAACAAAAATAATCATTGATAATAATTAGAGGATCCTAGTACCAAATTAGTCCAGTGGGTGCACCAAATCAACTAAACCATTTGTGTATTTTGTTTTCTTTTTCTCCCTCGTGCTGACTCTAAACCTAATAACAGTACCATTTAGTATAATATAATATAAGTTTGTCAAATTGCTAACGAATTCACAAATAGCTCTGTTGCTTCCCGCTTATTGTGTATATAAACCCCTCCTCTCCTTCCTTTAAACTCACACAACACATTCCAACACAAAGCTTCTCAATACAGCAACAATGGAGTCTCTCCAGCGACTCTCCTTTGTATTCTTTATCGTCCTTGTTGCTTACTTCGCTTTTCTCGCTTCAGCAGAACTTCACGTCCGTGAATTTGTGGTAAGCTGCCTAATCTCTTACACTATAGCTTCTCTTTATGTTCTTTGCAAATTTGCAATGATGAATGTGATTAATACAAAGTTACTCGATGATTTTGTGTGCGTTGTGGATGACTTTAGATCGAGCCAAAACCAGTGAAGAGGCTGTGCAGAACTCACCAAAGCATCACGGTGAATGGTCAGTTCCCTGGTCCAACGCTAGAGGTCAGGAACGGTGACTCTCTAGCAATCACCGTCATCAACAGAGCTCGTTACAACATTAGCATTCACTGGTAATTAAATTGATTATATCACCGAAACCAACAAACATATATTAGCTTCTGCTCTGTTTTTAACTCTGTTTTCGCTCTGTTTTCGGGATAGGCATGGAATAAGACAGCTAAGGAATCCGTGGGCTGATGGTCCAGAGTATATTACACAGTGTCCGATCCGTCCAGGTCAAAGCTACACTTATAGATTCACAATAGAAGACCAAGAAGGTACTCTTTGGTGGCATGCTCATAGCCGCTGGCTTAGAGCCACCGTCTACGGTGCTCTTATCATTTACCCTCGTCTCGGTTCTCCTTATCCTTTCTCTATGCCTAAACGTGACATACCAATTCTTCTCGGTAATAATAAATAACTTCTCGTCATTTCAAATATCATTTTACATGATCACACATAACATTTGTTATGGTAAACACTAAACAGGGGAATGGTGGGACAGAAACCCAATGGACGTTTTGAGGCAAGCACAGTTCACTGGAGCAGCAGCTAATGTCTCTGATGCTTACACAATCAACGGCCAACCAGGAGATCTTTACCGATGTTCGCGGGCTGAAACAGTCCGTTTCCCAATTTTCCCTGGTGAGACGGTCCAGCTCCGTGTCATCAACGCTGGAATGAACCAAGAGCTTTTCTTCTCAGTTGCCAACCATCAGCTCACAGTTGTGGAAACCGATTCCGCATACACAAAGCCATTCACCACTAGTGTCATCATGATCGGTCCCGGTCAAACCACTAACGTCCTCCTCACCGCGAACCAGCGACCCGGCCATTACTACATGGCAGCTCGTGCCTACAACAGCGCAAACGCCCCTTTTGACAACACAACCACCACTGCTATCTTGGAGTATGTCAATGCTCCAACTAGACGTGGTCGCGGTCGTGGTCAAATCGCTCCAGTTTTCCCAGTTCTTCCGGGATTCAACGACACTGCAACCGCAACTGCTTTCACCAACCGTCTGCGGTACTGGAAACGAGCTCCAGTACCGCTTCAGGTTGACGAAAACCTCTTTTTCACTGTTGGTTTGGGGCTAACCAACTGCTCCAACCCCAACAGTCCGCGTTGCCAGGGCCCAAATGGGACCCGGTTCGCGGCCAGCATAAACAACCAGTCCTTCGTGCTACCACGGAGAAACTCCATCATGCAAGCTTATTACCAAGGCATGCCTGGTATCTTCACTACAGACTTTCCACCTGTTCCACCGGTCCAATTCGATTACACTGGTAACGTCAGCCGTGGGCTATGGCAGCCCGTGAAAGGAACCAAAGCTTACAAGCTTAAGTACAAAGCTAATGTTCAGATTGTTTTACAAGACACGAGTATTGTCACGACTGAGAATCATCCCATGCATCTTCATGGGTACCAATTCTACGTTGTTGGGTCTGGTTTTGGGAATTTTAACCCGAGAACTGACCCGGCTCGGTTTAATCTGTATGACCCACCGGAGAGGAACACGGTTGGTACACCTCCAGGTGGTTGGGTTGCAATCCGGTTCGTAGCTGATAATCCAGGTAATCAATTTACTTAATCTTGAAATAAGTGAGTTCGCCTCAAAAATGAACTTTGACATAACTTTCGTGTAATAATGCAGGAGCATGGTTTATGCATTGTCACATTGATTCACATTTGGGATGGGGTTTAGCGATGGTTTTCTTGGTTGAGAACGGAAGAGGACAGTTGCAATCTGTGCAGGCTCCACCTTTGGATCTTCCAAGATGCTAATACATCTCTAAGGATTTGTGGGGGGTTTTGTTTTGTTTTTATTTTAATCAAAAGAAGGTTTGAGGGTCTTTGTTATGTGTTGTTGTTAAAGATCAACAACTGCTCTATTGAAAGTTGTTCATCTTTTGGTTTCCATGTACTCTTTCTTGTTTATACAGAAAATCATCATTTTTCAAGTATTAAAATATAAGAAATTAAAGCTTATGTTTGAATTTTGTAATACTCATCCTCTTCAAGCTCATGTGACTGCAATCATCAAAAATAATAGTTATACTGAAGTCTTCCAAAGGAAGTTCGTTTTAACGAGTCCGCACAACAATCTATGCGTACAAGTACAATTACAAGCTAAAATGAGTACTCGAACGAAGTATGCTTGTTCTCCAGAACACACAACGTTTCACAAAACTCAATATGCAGTAGTCAGTACAAACTAACAACCATTTCTTTTTTTTTGGATATAACTCAATATTCTCAATTTTTATATTTTATATATATATATATATATATATATATATATATATATATATATATATATATATATATATATTCAAACTTCAAAATCTATACATTCTAAAAACTATAACAAATTCTATCTAGTTATTTACTTACTATTTATCTAAAGTTATTAAATGAAATCCAAAAAAAATAATCAATAATTAGAACCAATAATATTTAATTTAATGTAAGCAAAAAATGATCTTATGTTTTGAAAACGCCGACCAGACTGAAAATTGTATATGTTGGCAACAAAAACTTATGAACTAATTCTAGATTTTGCCAACAAAAACTTAGGCGTTGCAAAAAAAAAAAAAAAACTTAGGCACATTTAAAAAACAAAAGATAATACACATTTTAATTATTTTTGATAAACAAAAAACTATAATCTTGGGGTTTTTGAATGCGAGTAGGTATTATTAAAAGAAAACTCCAAAAAGGTTGGGTTGTTCGGTCCTCCATCCTCCCACAACCTTGGTTAGCTCCGCCTTGAAGCTTTTAAAAAAAACGATACTAACGCGCTCACTGCTTCACCAGAATCACCACCCTGCTATCCTACGCACTCCTCCTCTTGTTCATCATTCTCTTATCCTGCGCACCATGGCCACAGCCTCCTCTTCCTCTTCCTCCTTGCTCTTACCGTCCGTATCTCTCAACAATATCTCCAGCTCCAGAAATGCTTCCTCCCTCGGAGTCTCCGTCAAGCGATCTAGGGTTTCAATGAGCCTCTCCACTGAATCTCAGAGTGCAATCAACGACTCTTTGTTCGCTCATTACAAACCCTCCTCTGCTTTTCTCTTTCCCGGTCAGGTATCCATTTCCTCTTCCCTGATAACTAGAGTTGAAATGAATCGTATGACATGGAAAATGCGTGAAATTTTTAATAGAAAAAGTCTATTCGTTTCATGAGAATTTCGAAATGTTTAGACTTTCTTTGGGGATGCCAAAAGATTTTATAATGAATCTGATTGTAAATATTACGTTGCGACAGAACAATGTCAGAGATTGTACGTGGAAAGTTGTCGTGTAATGATATTTTTTTTTGAAATATATTTATAAATATCTCTTAGGGAGCTCAAGCAATAGGGATGGGCAAAGAGGCTCAGAGTGTTGCATCAGCTGGAGAATTGTATAAGAAAGCTAACCATATCTTGGGGTATATGCTTGATACCATTTCTTTCTTTTTTTTTCATTTTAGTGAATGAAGAAATTAAAGTTCTATATGGTGGCTTATAGGTATGATCTTCTTGACATTTGTGTTAATGGACCAAAAGAGAAGCTTGATTCCACTGTCATTAGCCAGGTACTTCTTTCTAGCAGAGCTGAATCCTTTATCTAGTATTTTTATGATGTTTTTCTATGTACAATTATGTATGCTCCATTAAGTTCTTGGTGTTGTCTTTTTCTCAGCCTGCTATTTATGTCACAAGTCTAGCAGCAGTTGAGTTACTTCGAGTTCGTGAAGGCGGCGAACAAATAATTAACTCGGTTGATGTGACTTGTGGTCTTAGCTTAGGAGAGTACACTGCTCTCGCTTTTGCTGGAGCCTTCAGGTTAGTTAGTCACACACACAACACTCTTCTCATAAAAGATTATATCCTAAATTGAGAACATGGTGGAAACCAAATCACAGAATTTCAAATGTTATGATAAAAGTTTTAGTTCGTTTCATTTATATCTGTGTGAAACATCCACCTTAGTTCTTGTTTGTTTTATTTACTTTCAAGCTTTGAGGATGGGCTAAAGCTTGTAAGACTTAGAGGGGAAGCCATGCAGGTAAGATTTCATAAACTTCATTGGTTATGTCAAATTTAGGTCGATGGTGTGGTTGTAATGACTGATCACTTAGTTTTTTTAACTAAATGCCTTATCAGGCTGCTGCAGATGCTGCTAAGAGTGCAATGGTTAGTATCATAGGATTGGACTCTGAAAAAGTTCAGCAGTTGTGTGATGCAGCAAATCAAGAAGTAGAAGAAGCTGACAAAGTTCAGATCGCAAATTACTTATGTCCGGTATTCATACATCTCTTGTGCATTTTAAACCTGTAATAATCATCTTGCACATTCCATAATGCAGTCTGGTATTATAGGGTAATTACGCTGTATCTGGAGGTCTTAAAGGAATTGAAGTTGTTGAAGCCAAAGCCAAGTCATTCAAGGCCAGAATGACGGTAAACCTCTCTACCTCTCTCTCTTATGCGATTATCTTATGTTGAGGCTATAAGAAACATGATTGTTGTTGGCTCTGTAGGTTCGTCTAGCTGTTGCAGGTGCTTTCCACACAAGTTTCATGGAACCAGCAGTGTCGAGATTAGAAGCTTCATTGGCAGCAACGGAGATCAGAAGTCCCAGGATCCCAGTGATCTCCAATGTCGATGCACAGCCTCATGCTGATCCAGACACGATCAAGAAGATACTTGCACGCCAGGTAAACAAAATCAATACATGTGTTACTTATTTTCTTGTGGCTGGCAAAGTATAAAACTAAAGACTGAAAAGGGTGTTGAAAACCACAGGTGACATCTCCAGTGCAATGGGAGACAACAGTTAAGACACTCTTATCCAAAGGACTTAAAACCAGCTATGAATTGGGACCTGGAAAGGTATATTTCTTTTTCTTTTTGTTTCTAGCCTCTAAACCGTTATAGCTTGAAGTTTCTTCTTCCTCTCTAAGTTGTGTGTGTGTTTATGCATATGAAACGGCAGGTGATTGCAGGGATATTCAAGAGAGTAGATAAAAGCGCCAGTGTTGAAAACATTAGTGCTTGAGAGACTCTGGCTTGTTTTTATTTAGTCATGTGTATTTTGAATTGTGGGTCAGTAATAATTAGTAAATTAAATCTTATGTATGTGGACTCTCGATTGAGTTTTAGTGGTTTTGGAAATAAAAGTTTTGTATCAAAATATCTATGCAAGTAACATTTAGCAAAATATATGTTTGAGATGTCTTTAATTAAGTTTCAGTTGATGAAAGCGCCAACAACTTCATAGCTCAAGAGTCCAAGACAGTGTTCTACTGTGGCGAGCTACCATCTGATCTTCATCCATATTTGCCAACAATCATGGTTAAAATATTTATAGCAACCCCAGTTTAGAGATTTACGGATATCTAATTTTGGTATTTGCTTTGCTTCGAAAAAATACGGATATCCGGAAAAACGGATATCCGGAAAATAAATAGATATTTGCGGATATTTACGAATATTTACGGATATCTCATCAATTTTGATTAATACAAATAATCTTAAGATTTTGATACAAATTTGCTTTGCAAAAATATTTTTTTGCATGATATATAAAATAAAACTTAAAAGAACTAGTGAATTTATATATTTTGTAATTTTTTAAGCTTAAGTTACAATTATAATAACACAAAATTTAAGAAAAAAAAATATAATTGTCATAATTTTCTTTCTTTCTTTTTATGTAATACTTTTATATAAGTAATAATTTGAATAGAATTGTTCAAAATCATATGCTAGAGTAATAATTATATAATTTTATACATTTAAAATGTTAAATATAATCAAGATATACATATATTTATATATTTACGGATCGGATCGGATCGGATATCCGCTTCCCAAAATTTTACTATTTGTGATTTGCTTCGATTTTAACGGATATTGAATTTTAGTATTTGCTTTGATTCGAAAGTTTACGGATATCCGGAATTTTCGGATCGAATCGAAACGAATAACGAATCGAATCAAATATAACGGATAAAATGCCCAGCCCTAATTCCACCAACCAATGACAATAATAAAATAAACAAATAAATAAATAAATAATACCTCGGTGTCAGAAAGTAGTAGTAGATTATATATAACTGTCACTAGACCCACCATCGTTGGTCCCCACATTGCTCAATTCATATTCTTGACTTGCCAGTTTCAGTTAAAAACCCAAGCATCTATGTTTACAATTATCTTTATCTCTGTAAACATCTCTTCTTTCTATCTCTCTCTCTCTGCGATGGGTTTCCTGACCGATCTAAAGGAGCTTGAGATTCCGGATTACATAGTTAAGATACTTCACGTCTTAGGTTTCTTCAGAGACATGCTCAACGCTCTCTGTCCTTACATCGGTTTACCCCAGTTTTTAGACGATGGCGTTCCTCGACCCGGCCCGATCATACCCGACAACACGGCGGCGACTCTCGCTTACGAGGTTTCGCCCGTTGTTCGTTTCTCGGATCTTCAGACCGATCTCGAAGACTGCTGTACGGTTTGTCTCTCCAACTTTGCATACGATGATAAAGTTAGACAGCTTCCGAACTGCCGACACGTGTTTCACAATCGTTGCATGGACCGTTGGATCGTCGACTGTCGCAAGATCACGTGTCCGATTTGTCGAGACCGGTTCTTACCGGCCGAATATTACGCGCGGATTAATTCCGGTTTTGGTTCGGTTTGGTACCTTGATGAACCGGAGAGTACCACTAATACCAACTAAAATGGTAGCCTTCCACTTTACGTAGTATTTTTAAGACTTTTGCATCTGTTCTTTAGATATTAGTATCTGTCAGTATTCTGTATTGGGTTGTAATTTTGTAACAATAAGTGAGAAGACATTAAACTTTGGTACAGTGCTACGTTGGTTTTATATTAGGAACCTGGTCTAATATATATTAGAATTATATACACGCAAAGAAAAAACATCCATATTCACTTTTGTCTCTACCAAATATCTGTTTTGTCTTATCCTGAAAATTATCGAATATCCACTCAAAATACGGTTTGCTTTTTGCTTTTAAAAAGAGAAGTTTTTGAATAGAAAAGTATATAGTACTAGGTTTTATTATTATTAAATATCAACAAGTTCGTTCACAAAAATTCTGATAACAACCAGGTGCGAGAATACAGAAAGAAGCCATCATCATATTAAGCTGAATATGTCACGGTTGTAATTCCGACAAAGACAATACAACACTCGGTGTATACGACAAGTGTTATCACGAATTAAAGCTATAATAAAAAGATTTAAACAAAAAAAAAAGACATTTCATCCTAATTTATGTTTAGGAAAAAAGATTTGAACAAAAATACAAGACCCGGGTCTGTACCGTGGCAGGGTACTATTCTACCACTAGACCACTGGTGCTGGATGTTTACTTTAAGAGACTTTATTTATTATCACAGTTATAATATACTCATCATTGTTGTTATCTTCAAATCTTGTTTTTGTCGTCTCCTTCCTTTTGTGTTGCTTGATGTCACGGTTATTGTAGCCATGCTTGAGGAAGTTGGTGTTCTGAATATAGGCAATTTTGGAGTGTGTGGATTTGAAGCTTCTTCGAGATGGTATTTTCTTCTCTTAGATGCTTTTTTGCATAATGTTCAGCCTTTGAGGAAGAATCTTGATTCCTTTTCGTTCTGCAGGTCTGATCATTTTCTCGACTACAAGAGCACTATTTTGACGTCCCTAGCAACAAAGTTCTCAAGGGTCTGCTCAAGCACTGTGTCTATGTAACATCCTTTTTACTTCTTCAAGCAGTTTAACATAATGGAAGTAAAGAAGGGAGACGTGATCGTGATGAGCTCTTCGATAAGTTATTTGATCATGAGATTGTTTCTATACTGACCAAGCATAAAAATGTGGCAGTATCATGTATGAATACGTAGTATATAAATGTGGCGGAATCATGTATGTATGTAGCATATAAATGAAGCATATGTATTGGTATATAACCTTAAAAAAAAAAGCCATTCAAGAGAGCCAGCCAGGCTTCGAGTCTCCATAGATAAATGGGATGTGAAACCATTCAATGCACTAAAAAACACAAGATATTCATCAGCAAAATTTGAATCTTTATCTATTCCTTTTAGTATATCTCATTAAAAAACAAATAAAAAATAAAAACAAAGATCTCTCTAATCTGAAAAAGCAAATCAGAAAACAAGGCCTTAAGGGGGTGGGGACTCTAATCTGATAACATTATTGCGTAAAAACAGATCAGTATACAAACATATATCCCTCCAAAGAGCGAGTGTGTTTGACCACTAACAACAAACAGCTAGCTCTATGAAGAATCAGATTACCTGAATCAGGCAAGCAAAATATAAGCCAAAACTCATGTTTCTATCTTCTTTAACCTGTGGTTGACTCGCCATTGGCATCTTGAAAGAATGATTTGACTGTCTCATAAGTAGACCAGCAGATCGCAGCTGCTGGAGCGTGGAATAGCATTCTCGGTAGCCACCCTCTAGCAAGTCCTCTATAACCATCTTTCTTCACTATTGTACGGAACACATCGCTTATTGAACCGCTCTTGAACCGGTCACAGCCACATACACCCTGAACCATCACAAGAGACAGATTCTCATTAACAGACCTAAAAACAAACCGAACAGAAAACATTGCTAAAAGATTATAAACCTAGAAATGACGTCATAACTAATCAAAGCTTATTAGACCATGATTAACCCGGGTTTCTTAAGACGGGATTCTTAGCGGAAGTTAAGAAACTGTTTCCTAACTTTTAACTGCAAGTTCAGAAACTGTTTCCTAACTTTTAACTAAAAACTCTAAGAACTGGTTCTTAAAGAACTTATTTAAAAACAGGTTCTTAGCATTTTCAGTTAAAAGTTAAGGAGGAGTTTCTTACCTTCCACTAAAAACCCCTAAAGTTAATCATGCTCTTACTTTACACCTAAAGTTTTCAACTATTACCTGACACTGCAACTGTGTCTTAACAACATCAAGCGGGGTAGTTACAACAGCTGCCAAACCACCAGCCGCCGCACCCGCCGTCGCATAAATCAACCACCCTTCCTCCTCCTCTCCACCAAGCTCCGGAGAAACCTCCCTCAACCCCCTCTTAACCGCCTCATACGTCGCGAAATGAACCGCCGTAAACGGCGCGTTCATAAGCACAGTCGTCCTATAAGAAGCGTAGAAAGCACCAAACCCTTCCTCCCTCACCACCCTCCCAACACAGTCCCAAACCCCTCTATAAGTCCCGTTCCCAATCTGCAGCCTCTGCTTCACCATATCCATCGGCGTAAAAACCGCGTCGCTCGCCACCGTGGCGCACACGCCGGAAAACGCGTGCGCCGCGGAGTTGTTCGGGTTCCCGCCGGAAAAGTACTTTTTCGAGACTTCGTAGAACGAGAAGTAGACGGCGTGGGCTGGGCCTGCGCCGAGGCCCATGGCCCATATGCCTCGGTAGAGGGCAGATGGGCCGGAGGTTTTGATGATTGAGCGGAAGGCTTGGGAGATGCCGACGGGTTTGATGGGGCAGGGGCGGATGGCTTGCATGTGGGTCTTGATTGTGTCGACGGGGAACATAGCCATGTGTTCGACGGAGCCGGCGATGGAACCGGCGATCATGAGTTGGTGGAATTTGAGTGCGTTGTTGGGGTGAGATGGGACGATGATTGCGGGGTGGAAGTCTGGTGGTTGTGGGATTGGGCGGAGGTCGTTGGATGTGGTTGTGGCGGCGTCTGTCGCCATTAGGTTGCGGGGAGCAGTTTTCAAAATCAAATCTGGAGATTTCGGTGTGGAATCTCCGACAAAGAGGAAGGAGGCGGCGGGTAAAAGAACTAAACTTTGGTTTGGGCTTTTACATATGCTTTTTTATTTCCCCTAAGGATTTTTTGTCTGTAACAAAAAAACGGGAAAACTGACAAAAATATGGATTTTTTTGGACAAACTGACAAAAAAGTGTATTATACATTTTTGATAAAAAAAAAAACTTGTTTATCAATATCTAGAATATGTAATTCTATTTTGAGTTAAGAATTTTAATCTTGATCTAGAACTTGATCCACTCTCCTACGGCAGTCCTTGTGTGTTTAAACTTGTATTGTAAATGCATAAACGTTGATTTTATAAAGAAAATAACTTTCATGTATATTTTTTAATGCAATAAACCTGTTTTTTATTAATTTATTGTAAAATAAATAACATATTAAAAATTACACTTTAACATTATTTTTTGCTGAATTATTATTAATTTTAAGATGTTTTACTTTTTTGAAATTAAATTCTCAAAAAAAAATTGTTTGACTAACTAAATAAGATAGTATTCGTACAATATTAGTTAATGGTTAATATATGAAAATCGATTTGGTTGAAAAAAATTTGGAGGTAGTTAATTAATTTAAATTGATTTTAAATGCAGTGACAGAATCTATAAATAAAAAAATACAAAAATACGTGTTTAATTTATTGTAATTCTAATGGTTAAATGTGTAAATAAAAAGAAACATTAAAAACATTATACATTTTTATACTGCTATAGATATTCTCAAAGGAAAAAGTACTTCAACTTTAATAATATAATCTGATTTTATGAATTTGTTTTTTCACATACTACTATACAAGCTTTAGCTGGTTTTAATAAAAATATTAATTTATACAGTTTTTGCTAAGTCTAGGTATTCGGGATCCAAATCGGGTTTTGGTTTTATCTACTCGAATTTCAATTTTATGGGTTTATCAAAACCAGTCACATTCGGATTATATGAAAGTTTGGTTTGAGATCGGTTCGAATTTTGTCGGCTCCGAGTCAGAGTTAGTAAATCTTCAAAAACTGGTACAACCAGTTGTACTTTCGGATTCGGGTCCCAATCGGTTCTTTGGTTTCAAAGTACCTGATTTGTACTTATTTTGTAATCAAAACATAAATAAAAGCGATTCTTCGAATTTAAAGTACCTGATTTATACCTATTTTATAATTAAACATAAGTAAAATTGATTCAAAAGTTAGAAAGGAATATCAAATGTGATCAGATAAACATAGTTATTGATTGAAAGAAAACCAAATAAATGAAAATATAAAACGAAAACTATGTTCTTATGAAATGAGAAACATTATTCAATGAAAACAAAATCAAAATTTAAAAACTTCAAACTTCAACCGCCACCTTCAACCATCAACTTTCATGCAACATATAACTATTTTAGATACTTAATAATATCTTAAAGTATTTTAGCTACATATTAGAAATTAAAATTATGTTTGGTACAGATTTTTTTGGGGATTTTGAATATTTTGGGTTCTATTGGATATCCATTTATATCCGGGTTCGGTTCGGATAATACTCATAACCCAAAATATCATAAAAAGATCCATTTGGTATTTATATCAGGTTCAGATTAGTTTAAATTATTTTTTCGGATCAGATTTGATTCAGATTTTCGAGTTTGGTTTATTTTCTCAACCCTAGTTTTTACTAGACTACAACCTTCTAGACTTCTGGCTAGTGTAAAATTATTGTATTAAAAATAATTCAATTAAAAATATAAGAGTCAATTTCTCCAAATTTTCTAAAAACATATATGAATAGCTAAAAACATTAAACATAATACATATAGAAACGAGGAAAGATAAATATTTGGAATCATGTTTAATATTAATTGAAAATAACGGAAAACTTAAAAATTCAAAATAAATAATTTTATTTCATTTAAGTGTCATCTAATTTTTTATTTATTTACAAATCGTATTAAAATACATAAGTTTTGAGCTCTAAATTATGTACATAATTTTCTTAAAATCTAATTTCAGCGACCCATATCGATTTAAATTACATTAATCGGTTCAAATTGATCTAATTCAGTTAAATCAGAACACGCCAAAAATGAATTATGAGTAATGTTATTATATATCTAAACAACGATTTTTTTCTCTGTATTGTTAATTCACAAGATTATCTTATAAATTTTTAGTATATTCATTTTTTTATATTTCATTAAATTAATTTTTGAATAACCATATTAAATATAATATATAAACAAAATTTTCTTGATACAATCCGAATAATATATCTAGTCACTAGTTCTTTATAAAGTGTTTAGTTACCGCTTACTGAGTTCTTGAATATGCAATTCATAGAAAACTTGTAAACCCCAAATGGTTTTGAAATATGCAATGACCGGTAAAGAGCGGACCGCCAAGAGAATATTTGTCATCCTGACATTGATGAGTTGATTTTTGAAAAGTTTCTCACAAAGAATAAGAAAACTATTTTTGAACTTTTTGATACGCTTTTGAGACTCTCCTAATATTGGTTACCATTACATTCATAGATATCATTTTAATATTATTTTGAAGTAGAAATCTTATTAACTAATATTGATGGCCAAAACATCCACAAATTTATTGTTTTGCTCATTATATCCGGCAGTATAGATAATCTAAAAAAAGAAAAAGTATAGATTATCTTCTCTCTCTTTTTTTTTTCTTGTCATAAATAGAAAACAATATGACAAGATAGTCTTTGATTGGTTAACACTTTTTAAAGAAAATCTTTTGTAGTTAAAAGATACCTCTTAAAGTTGGAAAAAGTATATTGAAATAAATACTAACTGCTATAGTTGTTAAGAACTCAAGCAAACGAGTATTGCTTGTAGTATTATCATGACATATTGAGCATCTATCTCGCTATTGTACTTACTTAACCATAACGCGTTTATGAGAAAATTAAAGTACTTGAGCTGACTAACCATAGGCTTTATTAACTCTTAACTATGAAATTCGCTCTGATAATCTAACATCTAGAAAACTCATCGTCAAGTTGGATTGTAGTGATTATGAAATCAGACTAAACTAAACTGAAGAATAAACGTTAACATGAATGGTATCGTGTAACATTATACTATATGAATAGAGAAAAATTAAAATAAATCTGAATTAACTTTTAATGGATACTAAAATTTTGCTCACACCATAGAAAGTTAAATAATTATTGTTAAGCGTGAATAAAATACAAAATAGAAAGAGTACAGATAGAACCTAAAGAAAAAAAAATCTTATGTGGATGATCTATCAAACTAAGATGAAAAGAGAAAGTAGAAAGTAGCTGAATCCGATCCAAACACTAGAGGTAGCAGCTGAGCTATGTGGAGTTGTTGGTGGACCCGTCTGATACTGTGGACTATTAGTAACAGGTGAAAGAGACAACGGGGAGGTGGTAGTCGGTGATCGAACTGGTCCGGGAACTGGAGCTGCAACGGGACCCAACGAGGCTGGTAGGACGAGGATTTGAAGCTTTTGTCCTAAGTCGCAGTGACTAGGGACTCCGCATATAAAGTTTTGGTATCCCGGTTTTGTTAGGCTGATAGTATCAGATCCGGTTTGATATCTGGCTAATGGTTTAGACGGTATACACAGCTTGAAATCATTGTGAGTGACTTCAGTGACGTCGTGAAAATTGTTGTTGTATTCGAAAACCAAAGAGTCTCCGACTTGAAAAGTTCTTGACGAAGCCCATGTTTCGTAATTAACACCCATCATGGTCCATCCGCTTGAGTCGCCCACTTTGTGTACGGTTCCTCCAACGGCAACTCCAAAGAGAGCGAGAAGAATCATCAAAGAAGTGAAGAAGGTGTTGCTCTTGATCAAAGCCATGATCGATGTTTTGGTTCTTTCTTTTTTTTTTGTTGGAACAAGAGAATCAAGCTACGTGAAGGACAACGAGTTTGAGAGCGATTTGTTGAAGTCTTGAGAGTTTTTTTATGACAAATTGAGAGGGGTGGTAAGAGTGTTTATATAGAGGGTTTGTTGCACCGCCAATCATAGTAAATCCTTTTCCTATAGCGATTAAGTAACTTAATTTTTCCTTTTTACTTTCTTTTGCCGTCAATTAATTACGGATTGGACAATCACAGACCTAATCCTGTAAGTTTTGAGAATTTTGAAGTTATCCATAGTAAATTATACTTTTGTATATTTAATCGAATATAAAATTGTAGTATATTATTGCAGCTTTTCTTTTTCTCCCTTGTTTGTCCCTGATATAACTCGTAGAGTTCTGTGTTATCCTCTTGTTTTACCATAATACAACATAAAACTCACACGATCATGGTTATATCTTTAATGAAAGCGTCGATATTAACATCTGAAGAACCGGCTTTTGCAACAGCTCCACGACAAATCTCACTGAGATCACAAGCCCTTCTTCTCATACCTTTCCCTTCTTCACTCTCTCCATCCATAAACCTTTTCACCAGTTCCTTGACCTCGTCTCTCCTTATCAACATTTCTGCCGTACTCTTCTTGCTCTTCATCCTCATCCCAATCCTCCATTCCTCAACAATCATCTTAGCATTCAAAAACTGATCCCAAACCAAAGGAAAAGTCAGCATCGGCACTCCAGAATACATACCTTCCAACGTCGAGTTATACCCACAATGCGTCCAAAACCCACCTACCGCTGCGTGACACAACACGCGTAGCTGATCACACCAACTTACTACAACACCCAAACTACCTTCAAGAGCCTCCTTAAGCCTTGAATCGAGCCCACGAGCCACCCAAAGGAACCGGACTCCGCTGTCTCTCACTCCTTCCATTATTTCCTCCATCTGAGCCTCCGTCACCGAGAGAAAACTCCCCTGAGATATGTAAAGCACCGAGCCTTCAGGCTGCTCGTCTAGCCACCGTATATAATCAGGTTTCTCACCGTCATTGAGTTCTTGGAACGGTATTAACGGACCGGTGGAGTAAACCGGGAAACGAAACTTCGAGGTGAAAAAATCGATGGCTATTGGTTCCAGCTCATAAGTAGAGGGGAAGAGAAGATAGTTAGCTTTTGAGATATCATCGTAACATGGCTTGAACTTAATGAAGCTTTGATAAACGTAGCCGTGGAAGATCTCCGACAAATCACGGAGTCTTGTCGGAGATAAACCGGGGATGTAGTCAACTATTTCATCTTCTTTTGACTCTAGAAACAAAGAGTATCAGTCTAAGTGTCCTAAAGACTCCAAATCAACCAGAGACTTCTACTATGGATAATGGGCCGAAGCCTCAAGATGAGAAACATATGGCGAGGCCCACCTGCTCTACTCTTATGACCATTAAGTCTCCATCTGTTTGTATCAGTCAAAGGATAAGTCCTCCATCTTGTCGTGATCTACGTACAAACATTAGGTTAAAGGTAAAGGCGTCATGACAGATGGAGGACTTATCCTTTGACTGATACAAACAGATGGAGACTTAACGGGCATAAGAGTAGAGCAGGTGGGCCTCGCCATATGTTTCTCATCTTGAGGCTTCGGCCCATTATCCATAGTAGAAGTCTCTGGTTGATTTGGAGTCTTTAGGACACTTAGACTGATAAAGAGCACGAGTTATTATATTTAAATAGTTGACTGACTTTGGCCCGGACGAGTTCGGAAGGTATGAGATTGGGGAGGGTGGAGAAATGGATTTGGTGGGGTTTCGGGTCGGATCCGATGAAGCCGAGCCATTCTTCAGTGACGACGTATGTGACGTGGAGGTTTGGGTCTCGCCGGACGAGGCGTTTGCAGAGGTTCATCATGGGGTTGATGTGGCCTCTTCCTGGCCAAGGCATGGCCACCACGTGGCGAAATTTGAATGGTTGAGGTTTGATTGGATCCATTTTGGTATGAATTATATGTGATACTGGTTACCGAGGTGAAAATAGTTTATGTGGTGGGTATATGTACTGTTAACGTAAACAAACAAACATGATCACGTATTTGGTCATTGGGTGGTGTTTGTTTACGATGTTCGAATTTTCCTCTTTCGATAAGAAACAGTTTTTTTGGGGGGATCTGACTACGTGGCAATATTCAATGAATTTTTTAATCTGAATGCAGTAACTATAGAAAGTAATCGAAGTGTATATTTCTTATATACTCATGTTTCATAATATATAACATATGACTAGATTTTGACTTGCACGGATTTTTTTTTTCATTTATATATATATATATATATATATTGGTTTTATAATATTAGTGACGTTAGTTATATATTTAAACAAACATGATCGAATATTCTTTCCATTTCAGTTTAGTTGTCATTTTAGATTTTTGTAAGAAAACATTTAATTTTACATATTTCAAAGATAAAAAGACAATTAATTACCTATACACCTAACCATTTTTCAATCAATACAAAAATAAAATATCATATAAAATTAATAAATTTTACCTCAAAACTCTAAACAATACTTATTTTGAAATGAATTTTTTTCTTTAGAATGACAACTAATTCGAAACAGATGGAGTCTTTGGTCATTGGATGAAGAAACAGTTTTTTTAGGAGGGGGGGGGGGGGAATCTGACTACGTGGCAATATTCAATGAATTTTTTTATCTGAATCTATATATATAAAGTAATGTTTGCCTCCCTCTTGCTCTGCCACGTCATTAAATAGGTTAATCTGCTTTTGACACGTCAGATTTTTTTACAGTTTCGAAATGTTTAGTTTGTTTGTAATTGGGCAACTCAAATTTGGGCTTAAAATATACCATGAACAAGCCCAATATCATATTATTAAAAAAAAAACTGTGAACTTGGTCTTTGTGCGTCAGAAAAAAAGCTACGCGGTTCATCCAATCGCTTCTGAACTCCGACTGTATCACAGTTATCTTTCGCATTCAATCAAGATAATTATCTTCGTCCATAGACCCCTTCTTCCACTATGTCTCTTCTAAAACATCTCATCCTTGATCCATAGTTACGAATGTAACCTATAAATAAGAGAATTGGATTAAGTGAAATTCATCACTTCAAACTTTTCAATCGTTATCCCTTTCACAAATTCCCACACCAATTTTTTAAAATTCTTCATTATGTGTTCCAAACTAAACCCAAAAATATGAAACTAGATCGCAACAAAAAATTATGGAGTAGATCTCAAAAATACAGTAGTTTGTGAATATCTAGAAAAAACAACAAAGAAGAAAAATTATAATAAAGAAAACAGAAACTGACGTAGGTTAAATACACACCAGTTTGATCAATTCTTCGATGGCGAATTGAGAAGAGATGCTGATGCGTAGAAGAACAGCGGCGTTCGTCAAAACCTAATCCTAGAGAACCGAAAGAATGAAGAAGGGAAAAACCAAAGGAAATTTTTAACGAATATTCCAGTAATAAATGATAGATATATTATTTCACATTAAAAATATTGGGAGACAAATAACAACTTTTGAGAGTTAAGGGACGAAGAGAGGAAATAATATCGTTAGTTGAAGTTGCATCCTCATTCTTTATTTCTTCCAACGCATCCTCATTCTTTATTTTAATAGTTACCACAAAATATTAATAGTTAAATATATGAGTATTAATAGTTAAGTATTATCTATTTTTTCCTGTTACTTTTAATATTAAATATTTATTACAAAAAAAAAAAAAACATATATCCACTATCAATTGGCTCATGTTAAAGAAATCTTCGGTGCCGAAAAACTAGAAGCTTTTTGAGAATTAAATGTAATAAAATACAATCTTATTTTTTGCCTAAATTTTGAATAAACTACAATCTTTCTACATAGGTCAAAAATGACCACACAGAAACAATTATCATGTCCAAATTATGTATAACGGAAATGATTTTCAACGAGGATAAATATTAAATTAGATTTATATTAGTTTGTCGTTATTAAAGACGACGGCTGTGTTGTTTATACTAAGCGTAGTAAACCACTTAATTAGTAATAATGAAGATCTTAGGAAGCCACTTAATTTTAAGGGCATATTTTATTAGTAGTAATGAAGATCCTAGGAATCCACTTAATTTTAAAGGCATATTTTATTAGTAATAATGAAGATCCTAGGAAACCACTTAATTTTAAGGGCATATTTTTTTTTTTAAAAAAAAAAAAAAATATATATATATATATATATATATATATATATATATATATATATATATGGAACAAATGTTGTTTACATAATAGAATTCCAAAATTAATAGATTTAATTAAGTGTACTTTAATGAAGAATATTTTGAACAAGTTTTAAACGTAAAATACAAATCATTAGCTAAATGTTTTGTCCCAAAGTCTCTGACTTAAAAAAAAAATACAAATTATTAGATAAAAATACCAAAACTTTTAATATTACGAAATGAAGAAAATGATTAAGTAATATTGGTTGTTTTTGTCTTTGTAAAAAAATGATTACTTTTACATTTAAAACATTTAAAAACATTAGATTTTAAAATTTGGTTATTAGTTTTGTAAAAAAACAAAATTATGTGTAAAACTTTAATAATATAGTTTAATTTTAGATTTTTATTGTATTTAAAATGCTGATATATTTTTTTTTAAGTGGTTCAGCAAATGTCAATCTCGAGTGTTGCCACGCATGTGCCTGCAAAGTAAAATCATCAAGACAAACTCCAACGAAATTTGTCATGTAAAATACATCAAAAGTTAGCTGTTAATTTTGAACCCTAAAAATCTACGACCACTCACATTCAAATTAAAAAGAAACCCAAACAAAAACTACAATCAAAACGCTTTACACCACTTAACATTTGATATCCACTGGATTGTCACACTCCTAAGAGATTTGTACATAGACTAATCCACGATTGGCAGCAAAGAGTTAATACATAGACTAATCCCAACGTACATTGCAAACAGTAGCATTAAAAGACTATTATCTAATACTCTCTCAGGTTTTATTTAAATGACGTTATAGACATTTGCACACAAATTAAAGCATCCAATACAATACATTTTCTGTCCTCATCATTAATTAATTAGCATATCTCACATAGAGTATATAGTGGAGGTAGTGAGAGAATAAAAAATAAGAAATAATATCACTAAAAGGCAGTTTCATGTTTTCAATATCAGAAAAAGACAGTTGTAGCTATTAGGGTAGTTTGTCAACCCCTTTTCCATTTGGTTCCATAATTATCACTCATTTAGTTGGCTCTCCCTGTAACTAGACAATTTGTTTAAGCGGGAACCAACCTCAGTCCTTCATCTCTTATTTCATCCGACGTCCCACTTTTTTACCAAAAAGTTAGATTAGACACATTTTTCTCTCATATTTTCCCTTTTTTCTTTTGTCTTCTTCCTCTTTCATTCTCTATTTTTTTTAGAAAAATTCAAATCTGATTCTTAAATTTCTTTTCTCAAAATTTTTTTGATGAAATCGTTCTTTCCATTATTCGATCTATCTTTTAAGATCCGTGAAGATATATTTCCGATGTTGGTGTACACATTATCTAATGTACACACGTTATTTTATGTACGCTTTTTTGACATACACACGTGTACATTCAAAATGAACCAATATATGTGAATAAGTTATGCACATAAGGTAGACTATTGATAGCTTACTAAAAAAAATACAAACAACATAACAGTAAGTGTACATATGATTTTGTGTGTTATTCATATCTAATGATTTTTTGCTTTGATTTTAGTTCATTTAATTTATTTTCGAATACATTTTTTAGCTTTGAAATTTTGGAACTTACTAAAAAAAACAAAATACATAATCAAATAAATCAAATCGAACTGAATATGGTGTACACAAAGGATGTGCATTTTGTAAAACCTTTGTAATATAAAACCACAATTTTGATGTGCAACAAGCATATTTCAAACAAATGAGTACATAAATAATATATAATCTTGTACATAACCACGATTGTACACATGTACATTCATTAATGAAGAAGATGAAATAATTACGATAATGTCATTAATGAATTAATATTAAAAAGTGTACACACGGCTATGATGTACTTGTGTACGCGATACATAACATACACACCTATATTGTACACAAAATAATAAAAAAATTATCCTTCATGTACACGTGTGTACATCTAGTGTTCATGTGATTTTTATAAGAATCATTATTTGTGCGGTGTACGAAAAACTAGTGTACATGTGATTTTCTACTGATGATATATACCAAATTTGTGTACATACGTACTGATGATGTACACGAAATATGTGTACATATTATGCATCATTATGGCCGCTAAAATATATAATTTATAGTATCCATGTGGACAATGCAAAATGTGTTCATGAAATAAAGTCTCCACATGGATACTCATATTCGTCTCTACATTTGTAACTACAAACAAATTGTGAAAATAACATACACATGGACATTTTGAAACATGGTGAAATCTTATTCTTTTTTATCATATATTAATTCATTTAAAATATATGTGTACATAGTAATGATGTTTGAACGAGTATGTATGCCACAAATTTATCATGTGTACATATGGACAATAAAACTTGTAAATGCATATAATAAATTTATCACGTATACATGTTAGTCATTTGCATGTGAAAATGTACACATATAATCTTTGTACACATGTGAAGCTGTACACATGTACACATATAATTTATGTACACACCTTTTTCACTAATGGCAAAATCGTAATTAACCCATCTGCTACCTATTTTAGGGTTTCTGTAAATTTTTGACGGCCAACCACCATGTGTCTCCCTAAATCATCTGAATTTGGTGTGTTTTCATGTTATTTTGGCAGCAAAATTATAGATCTGTTTGCAAATAATCAATTTTCAAACTAAAAAGGATAATTTGATGAATCATTTTTCTTAAATATGCCAAATCACTCGGTGGCTCACAGCTAAACCTT